TCAGTCTGCCTTCAGCCTCGGCCTCAGCCTCAGCCTCAGTCAGCCTCAGCCCTGCCTCAGCCTCAGCCAGCCTCAGCCTCAGCCTCAGCCTCAGCCTGCCTCAGCCTCAGCCTCAGCCTCAGCCTCAGCCTGCCTCAGCCTCAGCCTCAGCCTGCTTCAGCCTCAGCCTCAGTCTGCCTTCAGCCTCGGCCTCAGCCTCAGCCTGCCTCAGCCTCAGCCTGCATCAGCCTCAGCCTCAGCCTCAGCCTGCCTCAGCATCAGCCTGCCTCAGCCTCAGCCTGCCTCTGCCTCAGCCTCAGCCTGCTTCAGCCTCAGCCTCAGTCTGCCTTCAGCCTCGGCCTCAGCCTCAGCCTGCCTCAGCCTCAGCCTGCATCAGCCTCAGCCTCAGCCTCAGCCTGCCTCAGCCTCAGCCTGCCTCAGCCTCAGCCTCAGCCTGCCTCAGCCTCAGCCTCAGCCTGCTTCAGCCTCAGCCTCAGCCTTCAGCCTCAGCCTCAGCCTCAGCCTGCATCAGCCTCAGCCTCAGCCTCAGCCTCAGCCTGCCTCAGCCTCAGCCTCAGCCTGCCTGCCTCAGCCTCAGCCTCAGCCTCAGCCTCAGCCTCCTCAGCCTCAGCCTCAGCCTCAGCCTCAGCCTCAGCCTCAGCCTCAGCCTCAGCCTCAGCCTCAGCCTCAGCCTCAGCCTCAGCCTCAGCCTCAGCCTCAGCCTCAGCTGCGGCCTCAGCCTCAGCCTCAGCCTCAGCCTCAGCCTGCATCAGCCTCAGCCTCAGCCTGCCTCTGCGCTCCCGCATACTCCTGCGGCCTCAGCCTGCCTCAGCCTCAGCCTGCATCAGCCTCAGCCTCAGCCTCAGCCTCAGCCTGCCTCAGCCTCAGCCGCACCTCCGATGGCGCCGAGGTGGCTCCCGTGCCTACCTGCACCCACGGAACTCACCTCCGATGGCGCTGAGGTGGCTCCCGTACGTACCTGCGCGCACGGAACGCTTCTCCGATGGCGCCGAGGTGGCTCCCGTGCGTGCCTGCACGCACGGAACGCACCTCCGATGGTGCCGAGGTGGCTCCCGTGCGTACCTGCACGCACGGAACGCACCTCCGATGGCGCCGAGGTGGCTCCCGTGCGTGCCTGCACGCACGGAACACACCTCCGATGGCGCCGAGGTGGCTCCCATGCATACCTGCACGCACGGAATGAGCTCCGCCGGATTCTCCCTGTTTCTGCCGGCGTCCGCCCGGACCCCCCTGGAGTGTCATGATGCTCTCTTTTGACCCTACTAGAAACCTATCAGCACAAGCTGTTAGGTAAAAAGTTTCACGGATTCAGGCGAGTCGTTTTCAAAATGTGGCTCTCGCCTTAGCGCAGCGCACATCCATGTTAAGAATTTGCAAGAGCTTCACGGATTGAGGGCGGTTCCTTTTCAAAATGTGGTTCTCGCTTTAGCGCGGCGCACATTTGTTTTTTTATGTGCAAGAGTTTCACGGATTCCCATCATCACCCTTCCAGAAATGGCGTTTTCGAAGGATTCAGGATTACGCGGGCGCAAAAATTACGTTGATTCTTTGTGTTGAATTCCTAGGAACGGCGTTCTGGCACGATTCCGGATCGTCAAGACGCAACAGTCAGGGTGTTCCGTGGCGTTGGGATCCCGAGAACAATTTTTTGGCATGCTTCAGGGTCTTCAAACGGGTGTCTTCCAACGAGGCAGTTCCATCAATGGAAATGAACCGATGTAAGGGCCTATGAAGAGGGAGCTTGGAGGGAGGTTTTATTCCAACATCGTTGATGACTCTTGGGTTTACACTGGTCCTCCTCTTCTTCCTCCTCCTCCTCTTCCCCCTTCTCCTCCTCCTCCTTTTCCTTCCTCCTTCTCCTCCTCCTCCTCCTCCTCCTCCTCGATCCAAGGTTCTCCTCCTCCTTCTCCTCCTCGCCCCCCCAACCCCGAGCCCGTTGCATGCCACAGAGGACGACGGCACGGGCCCCGACGGCGAGGCAACCGCCTCGCAAGCGACGCGGCTGTCGCCGCCGCCGCCGCGCTCCCGCCCTCCGGCTCTAGCGTCGGGAATCCGTCCTCTTCGTCCTTTTCCTCCTCCCCCTCGTCCTCTTCGTCCTCCTCATCCTCCTCCTCGTCCCCTTCCTCCTCCTCCTTCCCCTCGGCTTTCCCCTCCTCCTCAGTATTCTCTCCCTCCTCCTCCTCTTTCCCGTCGTCCTCCTCCTCCTCCTCCTCCTCCTCCTCCTCCTCCTCCTCCTCCTCCCTCTCCTTCGTCATCCTCCTTGTTCTCCTCCCGTCCACATCCCACTTATCATCGCGCGCTCGGGCGAGGCGAAGTTACGTGTGCGCGCGAAGGGAATGATCCCACCGTCGCTAGGACGATTCGGATGCAGTTGACCGCCCCTCCGTCCCTGGTGGACGCGCGGTGGCCCGGGGTGTCCCGCCTTGGTGTCCCGTTGGTGTCCCGTTAGTGCCGCGTCGGTGTTCCGTCGGCGGTGGGCGGGCGGTGGCCAGGGGTGTCCCGCCTTGGCATCGATAGTGAAGTCGATAGTGAGATCGATAATGAGATCGCTTGAATGGCATGGACAGTGAGATCACCAGTGATATCGATAGTGAGGTTGATTGTGTCATTGGTTGTGAGAACGATCGTGCGATCGATAGAGGAATCGATCGTGAGATCGATAGTGAGATCGAAAGCGCGAGATCTACAGTGAGGTCGATCGTGAGATCGATAGTGAGATCTACAGTGAGATCGATCGAATGTGATCGATCCTGCGAGGTCGGTCGTGGGATCGATCGATTGAGACCGAAAGCGGGGACGATGGTGACATTATATCGCAGCGCAACATCATTATCACGCGTCGTCGCTAACCCGAGGGCGCGTCACCAGCATCGTCCACACAAATCACACCCATCGCATTTGCCAGCACTTGGTTCTGCCCCCCCCACCCCCCAACTTCCTTATCACCCGAAGGGTGGTCGTACAGGTACAGAACTCGTCCCTGTCGCACCCCGATTCGTGTCAGTAGGGCGGGCTGGGCGTTTCGATTGAGATTCCCCACCGCTTGCAATCCTGAAGGTGGCGATTTGCAACAGTTGCGAGGATGGAGAGGAGGATGGTCTTCGTTTTTTTTAATGTGGCGTTCGCCCTAGCGCCGCACACACTCTTCTAAAAAGTTCGCAGCCGCTTCAAGGATGGAGGGCGGTTCCTTTTTCACAATGTGGTGATCGCCTTAGTGCCACGCCATTCGCGCTAAAACAGTGCAGCACGTTTACGGGTGGAGGAGCACGTTTATACATATACATATACATGTACATATACATAAACATATACATATACATATATAATCGTGAAATTACCACTGCAGCGCCGCGCGCAATCGTTTTAACAATTTGCAGCCGCTTCAAGGACGGAGGGCGGCTTGTTTTCAAAACGCGGCTCTCGCCTGAGCGCCGCGCACACTCGTTCAAAAAGCTTGCAACGGTTTCAATCATGGACGGCGGCTCCTTATCAAATGTGGGCTCTCACTTGAGCGCCGCGCATATTCGTCAAAACTTGGAACAACTACGGGGATCATGGGGCGGCTGCTTTTCAAAAGTGGCCTTTCGCTGCGTATTGTTACACTTTAAAAGGCCAGGGGCTTGATCAGATGCAGCAGGTGCACGGATAAAGGGCGGCTCCGTTTCAACATTGGGCGTTCGGTTGAGGCACCTTGAAAACTCACAGGTCAGAAACTTGAACAAGTCGTACGAATGCACGGATGGATGACGGCTCCTTTTCAAAATGGGGTTGTTGTTTGAGATTTTGTCGGCGCTCGCAACCAGAAGTTAAGAAGTGTGCAATAGTTCACAGATGGGCGGTCTTTCAAAACGTTAATGTCGTGAGACATCCCGCTGAATTGTATGACCATACTTTCGCGCGTGCCTTACTACTCGCTGGAAGGATACAAAACAGTTGGTTCCTTTTTCAAAACGGGGCCGTCGCCTGGTGCCCCTTAAAGTGGACAAGAAGGCTTTTACGTAGGGACGCATGGGAATGGAACTTGGGACGGCAGGGTGTATTGCATCATCGTTGGCGCATCTTGGGCTTACTCTGGTTAACTTTTTCCCCCTCCTCCTCCTCGACCCCCCTTCTGTACATATTCGGTCGGGCCTTTTTTCCTGCGGTCCACTGCTCGATCATGGCGAGGGCCACCCCCTTGCGAAGGTCGTGCGCTGGCCTCTCTTCGGATGGGTTGGTGCGCCTGTGGCTATGTCTGCTCCTCGCCCCCCTTCTCCTCCTCATCCTCCCTCTCCTCATCCTCCTCCTCCAGCATATTGCCAACTTTGGTGGGTAGAGGCTGCCAGGACCCAACCCCTCGCCTTGCTCCCTCGCCTCCTCCTCCCCCTCCTCCTTTGTCCCCGCGTGCTGCGGGATTGCTGGGAATCTTGTGTCGCTCAGCTGACGTGCCTCGGCCGCAGCCCCACACTCCCAGAGCGGAGGTAAAGGAGTGTTGGAGGCAGTGTCCCAAGTCCCCGAATATGTCCCCCTTGGCCCCTCCACGAGGGACGAGGGCCGAAGGATGGGAGCTCTGTAGAGAGAACTGATTGTATCATGTTTCGATTGTTTTGGGATGGTAGCGGTATCGTGCCTGGCGGGACGGGTGGTGTTTCATTCCTCTGGTGGTGTTTGGCCATATGTTTCCGAGCCGGTTCGCCTATACATTCCCTTTCCCCATGTAGTCCTAATCCCATGCGTAGAAGTGATCACTCCTCCTCCTCCTCCTCCTCCACCTCCCCCTTCTCCTCCTCCACCTCCTCCTTCTCCTCCCCCTCCTCCCCCTCCTCCCCCTCCTCCTCCTCCCCCTCCTCCCCCTCCTCCAACTCTTCCTCCACGTCACCCCTGGTACGAAGGTAACCGCGCTTCGCGCGTGGCGTCTGGGGCCGCTTGGCTATTCTTCTCCAGGTGTGCAGAGCGAGGGCGCGGCTACCTTCGCGCCCATTCTGGTTGTTCGACTTGGTTCGCCTATAAGGTCAGCAGTACGGATTGAAACGCATGGGGTTGTCAGCAAGTTGGTTGACATATGTACGCCAGCGAGTTGGAAGTCGCAGCAGCATAAGACGAAACCATCCGTCCACAGCCAGTTGCGAGTGCCCCGCGCGCCCCCCTCGCTGCCAGGCCAAAGTAGAGGCGGCCATCGCCAAAGAGGAGGCGGAGGAGGGCAAGGTCATCGCCGAGGAGGAGGCGGAGGCGCCAGCATCGGGGGAGGCGCCCGGCGCTGGCGCCGAGGCAGAGGCCCCTCCGCCTGGGGGAGGGGGGAGGGGTTCGTTCTTCCCGAGAGGTCGCCGTCGCCGCCGATGGGGGAAGAGGAGGAGGAGGAGGAAGAGGAGGAGGAGGAGGAGGGAGGACGGAGGAGGAGGAGGAGGAGGAACAGTGTAAACCCAAGATTCATCAACAATGTTGCAATACACCCTCCTTCGAAGTTCCCTCGTCATAGGCCCCCACAAGGAGTCATCACTCTCATTGAGGGAACTACCCGGTTGGAAGACAACCGTTTGAAAATTTCAAACCGTGCCCAAACACCATTCTACGGATTTCAACGCCGCGAGTCAACATTGTTGCTGCGTCTTGACAATCCTGAATCGTACCAGCACGCCACTTCTGGATTTCAACATCGCGAATCAACGTGACTGTTGCACCCGAACAGTCGCAAATCGTGCCACAAAGCACCGCTTCTGGGACGCCAGCCGTAAGAACCCTTGAAACTGCTGTAGTTTCTTAAGACGAGTGCGCGCGGCGCTAAGTCCAGAGCCACAGTTTGAAAAGCAGCCGCTTTCCATCCGCTATCTCTTGCAATTGTTCAAAACGAATGCGCGCGGCACTGGGGCGAGAACCACGTTTTGGAAACCGCCCGCCCTCGATCCGTGAAAACCCTTACAAACTTCGAAGACGAATGCACTCGGCGCCAAGAAGTGAGTCACATTAAAAACGGCCCGTCCGTGAAGACCCGTGGACATGTTTAAAGTGAATGCGCACAACACTAAGGCGAGAACCACAGTTTGAACGTGAGCCGCCCTCCATATGCGAAACGGCTGACAACTTCGAAGACAAGTGTGCGCGGCGCTAAGGCGAGAGCCACGTCTTGAAAATGGCTCGCCCTCCATCCTCCATCCGTGAAGCTCTCGCAAACTAGAAGGGGCGAATGCGCTCGGTGGTAAGGCAAGAGCCACATTAACAACACCGCCCGCCCTCCATCCGTGAAGCTGTTGAAAGAGTTAATATTCAGGTTCATAAGTGGTGCGATAGTCTCAGGCGAAGCGTCTGGCCCGCCCGATCGAAACGTCCAGGGGCGCGACAAAGAGGAGTTATGTATAACGAAGAAATGGAGGAGGAGGAGGAGGCCCGAGGTTGAGGCGGCAGCTGTTTCGGAGCCATCCAGTCGTCAAGGGCTGGCGGACACCCTCTGCTTCTCTTTCTGGCTCCCTCCCCATGCCCCCTTGCGATGCGCGCAATGGCAGAGATCGCTGTCGCTCGCAAGAACCTCAGGCCACCCCTCTGGCAAGGGGAAAGGCGGTGCAGGACGCAGCCAGGACCCCGACGCCAACCTCGCGGAGGACTTCGAGTTTTTCCCCACCTTCGCCACGCAGGATCGGTTTCCTGCTCCTACGCATCCTGCTGCAGACCTTGATATTCGTCAGTATGTCGCGCAGCAAAACACCGAGATTATGGCCGCCATGCCGACCATGCAGCAGTCTATGCTCAAGCTCCAGCAGTCGGTCAGCGCCCAGTGCAGCGACCTCGGCCAGCAGGTCGAACAACGCTTCGCCAGGGTCGAGGCATCTCAGCAGAACCACTCGCAACGGATGGACATCATGGCCAAGGAGATCCGCGAGCTCAGGGAGGCCCTCAATATTGTGCAGAATTCAGAACCACAGGCCTTCCATCACGTCCAACAATTTCCAGCGGAAGACCGACCCGACCATCCTGGTCATCAGGGCCAACCAGCCGGTCACCACAGAGTCCGCGCATACCGCCGTCACCCCATGCCTCTCCGACGCCAACTTCGAGGAGAGCGCCTGGGGGGTCGAGAGTGACGCAGCGGCGAAGCGCTTCATCATCCGCTTCAGAGGTGCCGCTGGATGGGCATCGCGATTGTTTTCTAAAGCCTTGGGATGTATCCGCCTTCCAGAAGGCGAATTTCGGCGTCTCCAGGCCCGCGTTGCGGGGGGTTCTCACCGACATGCACGTATCAGAGGACAAGAATATGTTCCAGATCCGCGGCGAGTTTGCCGCCGAACATGCGCGCAAGGCGCTCTCCTCTGTCGCCCCGAATGTCAAAGTGTTTGCAGATCTTCGGGTGTCACCCGTGCCGTTTTGCAACCGCTTCTTCGCATCGCGCCGCGCCAGCCCGACGCGCCTTGTATCGAATGGGAGGAAACCAACCTGCAGGCTGTCGGCATCCGCCGCGCCGAGGTCGAGGAGCGCGCGGTCGCCTCTGCGCCCCTCTCGAGCCCCGCGTCTTCTTCTCCAGCCCAGTGGCGCATGCAACGGT